TTCCGCTCCATTTTTCTTATCTCGAGCAAAGACGGATTCTTCTTGCAGCTTTGTCTCTTGATATTCGCCATATTGAACTAAATTAAACTTCTTTAATTCTCATACTCGCTCCGTTTTGATTTGTTCATAACTCTCTTAGTTTGGCACAGTACGGTGTTGGCTGTCATTCGCGTTCACTGCCGCGAATCCGGTAGGATCGGCACCAAAGAAAGTAAACCATTCTGGGATGTTAATAAGTTAAAAAACTGCTAGAGTTGACTGGACAGTTCAAGCGAATGCTGACCACGGTTAGATAGGGCAACCTAATAACTCCCTTAAATGGAAAATATTTGATTCGAATATACACTGGGGCTAATCCTCATTTATTACTATAATGACCACAGTTTTACCTTAAATAAAGCTTTTATAAAATGTAGAGCTTGTAAGTAAGAAAATGTGATGAGCCGAATGATTTTAAAAGAGTATCGTAGGATAACAATCAGTGGAGTACTTTCAGAAAGATTACATTGGTATTAGCTATTCCAGTTGCCTCAAAACGGATTGATTCCCGATATGGCTTGCTGGAGATGTTGCTGATCTATTGTGGATAGTTCTCAGACTATTTCTTTTTTTTTTGTTCCTTCATAGTATAATTTCTCCGTAACTCAATCTAGGGTTCGTTTTGTATTAACATACTTTGATCTGAATTGTAAGGTGTCTCAGGCCAAAAGAATCGCTTCGTTGAGCTGATCGCCTTCTCTTTCAAATCGAAGAGAGAAGGCGATCACCTCAACGACGGGATCTTTTTCCTACTGATAGCAACTTTAAGGGGTTACACATTGGTGCTCAAACAAAGCGATTCCAACCAATATGAAGCTCTGCATAATTTTTCAACTTTCGCTTCCAAAGCTAAGACTGAGTTTGTTATTTTATGCAGTTCGCGCGCATAGTTAGGGGCGGGGCCTTCTCACATGGGCTGCTGACCTTTTAGAAATAGAATTTGTTATTTTAATTTTGATTAAGCAAGTTGTTCTCACGAGTTTGTTTTTTTGTTTCACAAGGTGATGGTGTATCGAAGAAGTAGAGAACGTAGAGCTATTGAAGATGAAGAAGAAACAGTTCATGAGAGAGAAGAAAGACGATGGGAGTCGTAAGGGAATGGTTGAAAAGTCTGTTATTATAATCAATCTTTGTAGAAGAAGAAAAATGCGCATGGAACTTCTTGAAGAAGGTTACGACAAAGTATGGGCGCGATCTCCCAGCCAGAAAGACATTGAAAGGGTTTACGAGTTGTAAGCGTTTGATTTTCATCCTGTTCATTTGGCGTTTTCACGTTCAGGTATCAAGAAGATGAACAGCAGCGAAAGGAGGATGAGAAGTGCCGAGATGAACTAAAGAAGAGTAGAAAGAGAGAGAAACAGGTTGAGGAGAGGAAGCGAAAAGCAGATTTGATGAAAGAACCAGGTTATCTAGTTCACGATCAAAAATCTGACTTTANGAAAGAACCAGGTTATCTAGTTCACGATCAAAAATCTGACTTTACTTTTCCTTCTTCAGAACTCTCCAGTACAGATTCAGACTCCTCGGTTGAAGAGAGGAAAAGAAAAAAATTCAAAAAAGAAAAGAAATCCAAGAAAAATAAGAAAGAGAAAAAAGAAAGGAAAGAAAAGAAAGAGAAGAAAATCTCCAAGAAAGCCAAAACAGTAAGTATTATGACTAAGTGTGAATCAACCGTCAATTTTGCAGGATAAAGTCAGAGAG